ACACACGGACGGGAGGGTATCCCCCCCCCTCCACACACACGGACGGGAGGGTATCTCCCCCCCACATGATCAGAGCCAGGTGCTTGGAGCGTTCCACAGTGTCTCTGGCCTGTGTGGACCTTCGGAAGGAGGGGCCTAGCTGTCAGCGGTGGGCTGCTCACCTGTCTGTGTCCAGCAGCCTGTCGGACTCAGGAGGGGAAATGGGGTCTCCCTCCGAGTTCTGTTTCTCCTGGGAACGTAGCCTGGGGGGGGGCTCCAATGTTATTTTGTTCTAGGCCAGCGGGAGCTACCCTGGGAGAGGGACTGCTGGGCCATGTTTGATGAAGGCGAATGGAAGGACACAGATGGTGGGGCTCTCCTACCCCCTCAGCAGCACCTGCGGGTGAGAGCACCCCCCCAGAGAGGGGGCAGTGGGCTCCGTGGGTGGGAGGCCCTTTGCCTCCGGGGAGGTGGGGACTAGTGGGGACAGCATTGACGCACACATCGCCATCTCCAGGCTCCTGCAGGCTCCTTGCCAAAGCAGCACAGACAGATCCTTGGCTCCTCCAGCTGCACAGAGTCTCCTCAGCGTCCCAGACCCCTGCCTGGGGCCAGTGAATCTGTGTCAGGCTTGGCAGGCCGGCCAGGGAGGAACCGGAGACAAGGCCTGAGACGAAGAGCTGCCTCCTCTTCCCCCGTCATCGCGCCAGGGCCAGGGCCAGAGCCAGAGGGCAGGAGCCGGGGGAAAGGTACGAAGCAACATGCACAGCTCCCCTTCCAGTTAGTGGTTGAGGGGTCGGACCCAAGCTGTCTTACAGCCGAGGCTGGGGCATCTCCCTGGGTCTCAGGAGGTAGGGGGAACTGGGCGAGAGGCAGCAGGCCCAGGGGAACAAGCCAGCCATGTGCGCCAAGCGGGTGTCTGACAGGTCAGCCCATCATGGCATAGCTGCGTGCACGGAGGCGGGAAGTGCAGGCAATTACCCCAGCCTGGCCTGCGGAGCCAGTGCCGCTGGCAGGGCTGCTGCTCCCCTCGGGCTGGATCCTTTGCAATGAGCATCCTCGGCAGAGCTCCAGGGGCGTGGGTGCCACTGGGCCAGTGCAGCATTGTCAGCAGAGACCTGCCATGGC